ACACACACACACACACAGACACACACACACACACACAGACACACACACACACACACACACACACACACACACACACACAGACACGTGGCCGCGCGTCACGTGCGCGGCCCCGCCCGGCGCGTGCGCAGCGGCTCCCTGCGGCGCGGGGCGGGGAGCTCCCCGGTGACGTCACTGCGCGGCGCGGGCCAATCGGCGCGCGGCAGGGGGGCGTGGCTTGAGGCGGCGGCGGCGGCGCCGCTCCCGCGGGTCCCGCGCGCGCTCCCGGTCCCGGTTTCCCGTCCCCGGTCCCCGGTCCCGCCATGGCCCAGCGCGGCGGCGGCGGCCCCGCCGTGCTCCCGGACGACAACCCCTTCCAGGACCCCGCGGCGCTGCAGCCGCGTCCCGGAGCCGCGCTGGACGGGTACAACCCCTTCGAGAGCGACGCGGTGAGCGCTCGGGAGGACCGGGGCCTGCCCGGGGCCTTCCCGGTGGACCGGGGCCATTCCCGGGGACCGGAGCGCTTTCCCGGGGCCTCACCGCTCCCCTCTCCCCCCGCAGCCTCCGCCGCCCTTCCAGACGCCGTCGGTGGTCCCGCCGCCCCCGGTCCCGGCGGCCGCGCAGCCCCCGCGGAAGGCGAGTCCCACCGAGCCCCGCAACTACGGCTCCTACGGCTCGCAGGTACGGGGGGAGGCGCCGCCGGGCCGGGGGCACCCGGGGGGCGGCGGCGGGAGCCCAGGGTCTGTGTCCCCCCCTGCCCAGGCCTCGGCCGCCGCCGCCACGGCGGAGCTGCTGAAGCGGCAGGAGGAGCTGAACCGGAAAGCGGAGGAGCTGGACCGGCGGGAGCGGGAGCTGCAGAACGCGGCCCTCGGCGGGTCACAGAGTGAGTGTGGCCGCGGGGCCAGGGAGGGGCGGCCGCCCCCTCGGAGCCGCCCCCCCTCCTCACCCCCTTCCCTCCGCAGCGAGGCTCAACAACTGGCCCCCGCTGCCGTCCTTCTGCCCCTTGAAGCCCTGCTTCTACCAGGACATCCCTGTCGAGATCCCTGCTGACTTCCAGAAGACCGTTACCACCATGTACTACCTCTGGATGGGTGAGTGCAGCCCGGGAATGTCGGGACAGACCCAGGGAGGGAGCAGGGGAATGAGTGTCCTGTGCTGTTGCTCTGGGGAAAATTGGGATGAGCGGGTGGTGCCTGGTCTGGGGTGGGGTGGGGTGAGCCCCACAGGCTCCTGAGCGCTGTCCTGTCCCTCAGCCAGCACCATTACCCTCTTCCTGAACTTCCTGTCCTCGCTGGCCTGGTTCTGCGTGGATCCCTCGTCCGGGTCCGGGTTTGGCCTCTCCATCCTCTGGGCTCTGCTCTACACGCCCTGTTCCTTTGTCTGCTGGTACCGGCCCATGTACAAAGCTTTCAGGTGTGTGCCCGAGCTGGGGGTACCTGCTGCAGCTCCCTGGGGCCTCTGGCTCTGCAGGATGTGGTGTTTCCACGCTGTCCCCCTGCTCTAAGGAATTTTTAAGAGCTCTTTTCCTGCAGCCTAACTTTGCCTGTCTCTTCCTCCCAGGAGCGACAGTTCCTTCAACTTCTTTGTCTTCTTCTTCGTGTTCTTTGCCCAGAATGTGATGTACGTGCTGCAGGCCATTGGCATCCCAAACTGGGGATTCAGGTGAGCCGTGTGCTGACCCCAGGCCGGCCCAGGACCCTGGCAAGGCGGGAGGAGGGTGGGGAAGAGGGAACTCTGGGGGCAATAACAGGCTCTTGTTTTTGCAGTGGCTGGATCCTGAGCCTGATAGCACTGCGGACGAACACGGCTGTGGCAGTGATGATGATCCTGGTGGCCTTGTCCTTCACGGCAGTGGCTGTGCTGGGCATCATTATGCTGAAAAAGGTGCGTTGGGACACTTCTTCCCATAGCCACACTTGAGCTGAAGCGAGTGCCAGGGAGGCTGAATTTGGGTGGCTTTCGTCTTCCTCTACAGCCCCTGACAGTGCTGCACGTCCCTCGAGTCTTGTTTGCGTGGTTCAGATCTCTGAGACCACTGCAATAAAAGCAAGAGGAAATGGGCAAGCAGAATGAAAAAAAAACCCAAAAATGTGTAAACATAGGTGTTTGCGAGCTCAGTTAGGGAAGACTTAGAGCTAATCACTTAACAAGAGTTTTGGAAAGGTGGTTGAAACAAAGGGCGGTTTTGTTTTTAGAATAGAGGTAAAGTAGATAAAGTAATAGCCTTTGAAGAGAGCAAGTAGTGTCTTTGAAGAGAGAAAGTAGTGTCTTTGGAGAGATAAAGTACTATATTTAGAGAGATAAAGTAGCATCTTTGAAGAAATAAAGTAGTATCTTCAAAGATGCTACCTAAGAGAGAAAGTAGTATCTCTAAAGAGGTAAAGTAATACCTTTAAAAGGATAAAATTGTAGCCTTTGCGGGGAGGGGGGCAGGTTTGGGGTGTCACTGGAGCCCCAGCCTGACCCCCTGACCCTTCCAGATCCACTCCCTGTACCGCCGGACGGGCGCCAGCTTCCAGAAGGCCCAGGAGGAGTTCGCGGCCGGGGTGTTCTCCAACCAGGCCGTGCGCACGGCCGCGGCCAACGCTGCCGCCGGCGCCGCCACCAGCGCCTTCCGCGCACCGTAGCCGGGCGGGCGCCGGCCCTGCCTCCCCGGCACGCGCGGGGGCTCTTCCCGGGGAAGAGGAGAATCCGAGTTGCACTTTCGGTGGATCCCCCGTGCCCGCATCGGCTGTCAGAGGCTGCCTCATCCCGGCTTGGAAGTGCTGGTGCCTGAATCGTCTGCTGCTCGAACCCCCTTTCCCTCACGGACAGAGGCTGTTTCTGGTTTGCGCTGGTCCCCCTCCCCCTCAGCGGACTGGGGGGAGCGGGGTGGGTGGTGCCAAGGCCGAGCCCTGCGCCTGCCATCGCCCTCCCTTCCAGCACGAGCCTCCTCCAGATGTGTGACGGGGACTGGAACTGCCGCTCGCCTTCCCTGGGCCCTCCTGTGTCCCTGCCTGGTGGTGACACCTGTGTGCCCTGGGGCGTGGAGGGCCCCTCGTTGTGCCCAGTCCTGAGGCTCTTCCCTTTGCCTGCCTTTCCCTGTGATACGGGACCCCCGTGCTCTGCCAAGAACATCATCCCCCTCTTCCCCCCAGGGCTTGCTCCGGTGGGATGGGGTGCTGTCCCCAGGGTGTCCTTCCCCTCTCTCCAGGCTGAGGAGAGCAGGGCTGGGACAGGCAGTACTCGGGCACATGCTGCTGGTGGGGCTCCTGCCTTTAGCCCACGTGCCCCCTGTGGACCCCAAAACCAGGCTGGGTGCTGAGGAGCGGCCCTGGTGTTACTGTGGCTCCAGGGAGGGGTGAACAGCTCCCCCCACCCTCCTCCTCACCCACCCCAGGGACTGTGACCCCTCGTTCCCCCCAGCAGCCTTCACCCAAGGCCTTCACCCTCCTCGGGGGCTGAGCCAGTGCCTGTGTTCCCCTTACCTGCCCTCTGTCCCCAGGGGTCCCCGGGACAGGTCTCATGCATTCTGCTTTGCCCCATCTCCTCTCAGACGCTCCCGGTTTGTCCCTGCAGCTCCGGGGCTGGCGAGAGGCTTCGTGCCTTCAGCTCTGGGGGCCGGTGCCCGCGGCTCGGCCCCGTCCTGCTGTGGTGGGGGGTCCCGTGGGGGTCCCCGCCCCCCCCTGCTGCCCCCCGTGTGCTGCCCCCGACCGCCTCCGGGTTTATTTAAGGAATAAATGAAGTTTCACTCTGTGCCTCCGCCGCCTCGGTGCGCTGACCGGGGGGGGGGAGCGCCGGGGCCGGGGCCGGAGTCGCAGCTCCCGGCGGTGGCGGTGCGGGGGTGGGGGGGACACGAACTACAGCTCCCGTCGTGCCGCGCAGGGGCGGCCCCGGGGGCGGGCGCGGTCGAGCAGCCGCCGGAGGGTGCGGGACCGTCCCCGCAGCTCCCGGCGCTCCGCCGCCCGCCTCCAGCCGCGGCCACGGGCGCTCGCGGAGGGGGCGATGCTCGCCCGCAACCTCCCGCCGGCCCGGCGACCCCGCCGGGGGCTGCGGCGCGCGGGACGGGCAGCCCACCGGTAGCCGCCCGCCGGTACCGGCAGCGGGACCTGGCCGTGCGCCCGCCGCCCGCGGAGGATGCTCCGGTGCGGACAGCGGCTCCCGCCTGCTGGCGCTGCCCCGGGGGCCGCGTCCCGGGCGGCGGCTCTCGGCCCCCGCGGGGCGGGATGATCCCCCGGCGGGGGCCCGGCGCTCCACCGACGGTCAGTGAGGAGGAGGAGGAGGAGGCGGCGGCCCCGGGGCCGCGCTCTGTCTCAGGCCGGCGGCTCTAGGCCGGCCCCGGTGAGGCCGGTTCTGTTCTCCGCGGAGCTTCTGGCGGCCCCGGCCGCGCGTGGCCGTGGGCGCTGCCCGAGCCCCCCCCGCGGGGGCAGGGAAGAGCCGCCGTCAGCATCCTTCGGGAGGCGAAAGGTGGAGCCCGGCCCGTTCCCGCAGAGCGGCCGCTCCCGCTCCTCGCGGTCCTGGCGCGGTGCCGCCGGTTGCCCCGGGGCTCCGGGGCCGGCCCCGAGCCGCCGCCCGCCGCGGCCATGCCCTCCCCCACCAACTCCAGCCGCTCGCTGACCGGCCGCAGCTCCCGCAGCCTCACCCACCTCCGGCTCCAGCGCACCTGGCTGCAGGTCCTGCTGGTCCTGGGCCTCATCCAAGCCATCCTGGGCGTCCTCATCGTCACCTTCAGCCTGGTGGCGGCCACCATCACGCCCTCCACCAAGATCCGGCACTCCTGCCCCTCCTGGGCCGGCTTCTCGGTGAGTGCGGGGCCGGCGCGGTGCGGGGAGGGGGCCGCACGGCTCCCCGGGGGCCGAGCTTGCCGCCGGTCCCAGGGGAGAACAGCCCCGCTGCTCCCCCACCCTCTGCCCGTGGCTGCCGCGGTGCATTGTGGGAGAATCCCAAGGTGTCCCCCAGGGTCACTCTGTGAGGGATGGGGACCCCCGAGCAGGGGCTGTCGAGGAACGCGTTGAGGTTTGCAAGGAGGGGCAGCACAGTGGTGACAGGGCAGGGGCCGGACAGCGAGGGGGCCTCTGCTCTACCTGCTGTGTACTGGGAGGAGGGCAGGACCCGGGGTCCCCCGCGGTGACCCTGCAGCTTGGATCGTGGCCCGGGTTTGCTGCCCGGTTCAGAGCTGCCTGCAGCCCCCAGGCCCTGAATCAGCAGTTTCTCCCAGCTTGCTTCTCCCACGGCTGCCCCTCCGGCCCTGCTGCCCCTGGGCTGGCTACGGGCCCCCAGGGATTGGGGGGGCTCTGCCCGTGGGCAGGGGCTGCTCGGGGCCCCATTGCCTGGCAGAGACCCCTCCCTACCCTCACCCCGGGGTTTGTGCGTCTGCAGCTGGCGCTGTCCGGGCTCGTCGGCATCGTCTCCTGGAAGCGGCCGTTCACCCTGGTGGTAGGTGTTGGGGGGGGACGACACCCCCTCCGCATGTGGGGAAGTCCAGGATGGGGAGGCCGAGCAGCCCCTCGTGCCCCTGCAGCCGTGTGTGTCGGCTCCCTGCTCCGCAGCCCTGCGTGGCCGGCAGCCCCTCTCCTCCCGCTGCAGATCGCCTTCTTCACGCTGCTGTCGGTGCTGGGCGTCATGCTGAGCCTGGCTGGCTCCATCCTGTCCTGCCAGAACGCGCAGCTGGTGAAGTCCCTGGAGGCCTGTGAGAGGGTGAGGCTGAGCGGGGGCAGCCCCGGAGCCCCCCGGGCCTCCGCGCTCAGCTCGTCCCTTGCTGCAGGGCTTGGGGACAGGGGGAGCTGCAGAGCCGGGGTCTGGCGGCGGGACGTGCCGGTGGCTCTCATGGGAGGTCCCTCATGGTGTTCCTTGTCGCCAGGAGAGGGACTCGTGTGTCTGCTGCCAGGCCCGCTCGGAGCCCCCGCCCGCCTCCTGCAGCCAACAGAGCGAGATGCTGACCATGTTCCCCAACCCCAACTGCCGGAGCATCCGCGTGGCGCTCAAGGTGGGGGTCCAGGGGGGGACAGGGGGAGCGGCTGTGCACCCCACCGTGCTCTGTGGCCTCTGCAGCTCACCCCACTGCTCCCCAGGACCTCCTCTTCAGTGTCTGCGGCTTGACCGTCTTCTCCACCGTCATCTGCACACTCTCTGCTGTCGTCTGCTGCATCCGCATCTTCTCCCTCGACATCGTCCATGTGGTAAGTCCCAGCCCTGGCCTGGGAACAGACGGGTCTGGGGAGCAGTGCTCCCAGGCTGGGGGGAACCTGGAGTGCCAGGACAGGACTTGGCCCCATTCGTGTGCAGATTAAAACCCAGAATGTGCATCCCTTGCTGGATCCCTGGGCGGGGGAGTTCCAGCTCTCCCTTCTCCCCACAGCTGGTCCCGCAGCGCTCGAGCTCTGTGACGCTGGAATGCACGTCCCCCCCTGACACCTTCCTGCAGAGCATGATGGACTTCGAGGAGTTCGTGCCCCCAGTGCCACCACCCCCCTACTACCCACCTGAGTACACTTGCAGCTCCGAGACAGACGCACAGAGGTACCACCTGGGGGTGAGGCCGGTGGAGCGGGGGTCTGTGTGCCCCCAGGCAGGGCTTGTCCCACCAGACGTGTCATTGCTGCTCTTGCCTCTGCAGCATCACCTACAATGGCTCCATGGACAGCCCCGTGCCCCTCTACCCGACTGACTTCCCTCCGTCCTACGAGACCGTGATGGGGCTGCGGGGGGACAGCCAGGTGGGGGCCGGGGGGCTGTGGGCAGGGGAGGCCAGGCAGGGTGGGCTCTGCTTGGCCGAGCCCTGAGCGTGTTGCCCCACAGGCCACCCTGTACGACTCGCAGCTGACAGAGGGTTCACACGCCTGCACCTGCGACCGTGTCCCCTCCATCGTGCTCAGCGGAGAAGGTGAGTGTTCCCCACGGGCACGGGGGGCCGCGGGGGGACCGGCCCTTCCCTGCAGCCCTTCATCGGCGCTCCTCCGCTCCTCGCAGTGTCCATGGACAGCGGCTCCCTGATCATGTCCGAGATCATGGACATCCCCGGGGACAGCAGCCCCTCGGAGGACTCGTGCCTGCTGGAGCTGCAGGGCTCCATGCGCTCCGTCGACTACGTGCTGTTCCGCTCCATCCAGCGCAGCCGCGCCGATTACTGCCTGAGTGTGGACTGCGTCCAGTGCAGCCACCACGCCCGCAGCCCCACGCTGGGCCTGCAGGGCCCCTTCGAGGAGACCCCCCAGCCCCGCGCGCGGGGCGAGCGCTCCTACTCCTGCTCCACGGCGGAGCCCGGCCACGACGGCGTCCTGGTGGGGGGAGCCGTCACCCACAGCTGCAACCGGCTGGCGGGGCTGGCGCGCTGCGCCGGGCCCTGCTTCCCCGAGGTGCGGCTCAAGGACAAGGGCTCGCTGCAGGGGCGGGGCGGCGGCCGCCCCACGGACCCCGGCGCCGGGCGCCCGGGCCACCCCCGGCGCAACAGCGAGACCTCGTGCCCCTCGTCCCCCGCCCCGGGGCTGGCCCCGTGCCCGCTGCTGAGGTCCCACAGTGACCCCGGCGTCCCTCTGGCCGGCCATGCTGGTAGGTGGCAATGACCAAGGTGTGTGCGGCAGGGTCTGTTCGGGGCAGCCCCGGGATGTGCCGCAGGGTTTGGCTGTGTTTCCCCGCGGCCCCGTGGGATTGGAGCCAGGCTGAGGCGGGTGGGGAGGAATGGGGGCAGCGGGAGGGTGCTGGGCAAGGGGTCATGCAGCTTGGGGTCCGCACAGCTGCCGAAGCCTGAGGGCTCTCTCTGCTCCCAGCAGATTTCAGGGAAGTACTTTATACCAAAGCACTGGAGGACACCGTGTCCGACTCCTCCGCCGATACAGGTCAGGGCACTGGGATGTAATGGGATAGACACAGGGCTGGGGGGAGCATTTCTACAGCCCTTTGGGGATCAGGCCCATCCTGCTGGGGCTGGAACAATGAAGACTTGTGGTGGGACTGCTCCCACTGGCTGGCGAGGGGAGACACCATGACCCCGGGGTCTGTGGGGACGGGTCTGCCAGGAGCAGTGTCCTGGGTCTGGGGACAGGGATGGGTCTGTCAGAGCAGTGTCCTGGGGTCTGAGGATGGAGACAGGTCCATCAGGGCAGTGTCCCGGGTCTGAGGTCAGGGATGGGTCATTCAGGAGCAGTGTCCTGGCTCTGACAGTGGCGTCCCCGCAGGGCTGTGCTCCGAGGCCTGCCTGCTCCGCCGTTCCCACTGTGACTCCCCACCGCTGCTCCGGGCCGGCTCGGTGGGCAAGACCAAGCTGCCACCCTGCAAGAAGGTGACAGAGCAGCTGTCAAAGACCACGACCCGCTCCCTGGGGGACCTCAAGGGCTGCCGCGGCACCCGCGGGCTGGTGGCCAGGTTCCTGCAGAGACCCAAGCGCAGCCTGGCAGCCGGGGTGGAGGTGTCTGGGTACAGCTTCCAGGGGCACAAACAGGTGCGTTCTGGCAGCCGCAAGTGACAGGGGTGACTCCTTCTTCCTAGAGAACCCCCATCCACACCCTCTCCCTCCCTCTGGTCCCTACTAGCACCCCCACCCTGGCCTCCCTTCCGTGGTGCCCCTTCCCCTGCCAGGTACTCACGCTGTCAGCACTTCGGCTGCAAGCAGAGCCTCCTTCCCACGGCACTGCCCTTTCCCAGCCCTTCTTGGGGAGCAGCTCCTTCCCCTTGATCCCCACCGGAGTTAGGAGTGGGAAAATCGTGCCTGTTGCAAGGGCTTTGTCTTTGCTCCTGAGTCACCGCACCCAGAGGCACATTCTGACAACTCGGCTTACGGGACGTTTGACACCTTGCGCAGCCCGGGAGGCCCTGATGGGAACGAGCCTGTCCCAAATGCCACCTTGGGCGTGTGATGCCCGCCTCTGCCATCCCTGTCACCTCTGCCCTCCTGCCCCGTGTGCCGTCCAGCTGAACCAGAGCGTGGGGGCTGCGAGCTTGGGGGGGGGAGGTGAGCACGAGAGGGTGCCACGGGCAGGGGTGTCAGTCCCACGGCTCCAGCCCACCCCCATGGGTTTGCAGGTTCCCTGGAGTGCCTGGCCGGGCGCGGAGCGGCCCCACGAAGGAATCCACCTGCAGAGCTGCGGGGACCTGAGCTCCACCTCGTCCCTGCGCCGGCTCCTGTCCGCGCGCCGGCTGGAGCGCAGCCGCCCCCGGAGCCTCAGCGGGGCCTGCAAGGAGAGCGCGCTCTGAGGGCGCAGCCCCCGTGGGGACCCCCTGCTCTGGAGAAGGGGTCCCGCTCTGGGCCTGGCCCTGGACATTGCTCGGACGTTTCTTCTGCCCCGGTGGGGCTGGGCCCTGCGCCGTGGCCCCTGGGATTCTGCTGGCCCTTTCCCCAGACGGGGCCGGGGCAAGGGGCTGGTCCCCTGGGATGTCTGCTGGGGGCTGAGACAGCGGTGACTGTGCCCTCCCTTGTCCCCAGTGCCTGTCTCCTGGGATGGCTATGCCTGTCCTCTGCCCTGTCCCCAGTGCCTGTCTCCTGGGATGGCTATGCCTGTTCCCTGCCCTGTCCCCTGTGCTGGCGCCATGCCTGTCCCTTGCCCCGTCCCCTGTGCCAGCTGTGCCTGTTCCCTGGGATGGCCATGCCTGTCCCCTGCCCTGTCCCCTGTTCTGGCTGTGCCTGTCCCACACACTGGCCGTACCCTGTCCCCTGTGCCAGCCGTGCCTGTACCCTGGCATGGCCATGTCTGTCCCCTGTGCTGGCCATGCCTGTCTCCTGCCTTATCCCCTTGTGCCAGCCGTGCCTGTGCCCTGGGACAGCCATGCCTGTCCCTTGCCCTGTCCCCTGCACTGGCCGTGCCTGTCCCCTGCCCTGTCTCTTGTGCTGGCCATGCTGGCTTGTTCCCCAGTTCCCTGTGCCAGCCGTGCCTGTACCCCAGGATGACCTTGCCTGTCCCCTCACCTGTCCCTTGTGCTGGCCTGGTCCCCGGTCCCCTGTGCCAGCCGTGCCCGTAGCCTGGGACTGCCATGCCTGTCCCCTCTCCAGCCGCCCCGCCCCGTCCGGTGCCGTTCCCGGTGCCGCCGCCGGTGCCCCGCGCTGGCCGTGCCCGTTCCCCCCGTTCCCCCCGTCCCCGCCCGGCTGCGCCCGGGCCGCGCTGCGGGGCCGGTCCCGCGGCCGCTGCCCCTCGCTAGAGACCGAATAAAAGGTGGTCGCCGCCGCCCACGGGGCCGTGGGGCCGGTGTCACGGGGCGGGCGGGGCGGGGCGGGGCGGGCGATCAGCTGACCGGTCACGGGGCGCCGGTTTCCCGTTTTCCCGATTTTCCCGGTGCCGTCGGGGCGGGGGGAGGCAGCGCGGGGAGCGGCACCGGGTCCGGGACCGGGACCACCCGCGCGTGCCGGGGGGGCTGAGCGGCCCCGCGCCCCTGCGGTTCCCCCCCCGCTCCGCCGTCCCGGTACCGGCGCCGGGAAGGGCGGGGGGCCGGGCCCGCCCAGAGCCGGTGCCGCTCCCGCAGCGGCGCCCCGGGTGTGGGCGGGACGGGCGTCCCGGGCGTCCCGGGCGCCCTTAAAGGCGAGGCCGGCGGCGGGCCCGGTGCTGCGGGGCCGGCTCCGAGCGCAGCGGGAGCGGCGGGGCCATGCGGGCTGCCGGTGCCCTGTGCTGGCGGCTGGTGATGGTGCTGCTGGCCGCGCACCGGGCCGCAGGTGAGCGGGGGGGACCGGGAGTGCCCGGTGGGTGGAGGAGACAGGGGTACCCGGGAGGGCTGGGGATGCCCGGTGGACTGGGGGTGCCCGGTGGACCGGAGTAGGGGGGTAAGGAGAGGGAATACCCGCGGCTGTCCGGTGTCTGGGGATGCCCAGGAGTGTCTGGGCATCCAGAGGCAGCGTGGAGCTCGGTGGCCAGGAGGTGCCGGGATGTGGAGCGCGGGGGCAGCGGTATCACCCTGGGGCAGGTGGGAGAGCTGGCAGAGACCCATCCCCGAGGCTGCCCCCATCACCCTCCCGTGCCCCCCAGGCGCCCGACCCTGCAGCCCCAAGTACTTTGGCCGCGATGCCATGGTCTGTGTCTGCAACACCACGTACTGTGACACGCTGGACCCCCTGGTCCTGCCACCCCCCGGCTCCTACGTCAAGTACGAGAGCAGCAAGGCCGGCAAGAGGCTGGAGCAGAGCAAGGGGAGGTTTCGGCGCAGACTCTGCGCCCCAGGTACCGCCGCGGATGGCAGGGATGGGTTGGACCCCGCTGTGACCCTCTGTCACACTGGGCTCCCCTCCCTGCAGACGTTGTCCTTACCCTGGACACGACGCAGCGGTTCCAGAGGGTGAAGGGTTTTGGTGGCTCCGTCACCGACGCGGCCGCCATCAACATCCTATCCCTGCCGGAAAAGGCGCAGGACAACCTGCTGCGCTCGTACTTCTCCGAGGAAGGTGAGAACACGCAGGGAGACAGGTAGGATGGCGGCAGGGACCCTGGGTGCCGGCAGGTTTTGGAGACCTCATGTCCCACTGCCACCCCTGTGCCTGGCAGGGCTGGAGTACAACCTCGTCCGGCTCCCCATGGCCAGCTGCGACTTCTCCCTCCACGCCTACACCTACGACGACGTTCCCTATGACTATGAGCTGAAGCACTTCAACCTGCGGGATGAGGACACCAAGCTGAAGGCGAGCAGTGGGAGGGAGCAGGGTGGGATGGGGGACCTCAGGGGGCTCAGCTGAGCCAGTCCCTCCACCCCCTCCCGCAGATCCCTGTCCTGCACCGAGCCATGGCCATGAGCAAGCGGCCGCTGTCACTCTATGCCAGCCCCTGGACCTCCCCCACCTGGATGAAGACCAGCGAGTCCTACATAGGGAAGGGGACGCTGAAGGGGCAGGCGGGGGACAAGTACCACAAGACCTGGGCCAACTACTTCGTACGGTGAGGAGCGTCCAGGGTGAGGGGACAGGGGTGATACCCGGGGGACCCTCGGTGGTGGCACTGAGGACCCCCCATGGCTCACCCCTGCCCTCCACACCAGGTTCCTGGATGAATACGCCAAGCACAACCTGACCTTCTGGGCGGTGACAGCAGAGAACGAGCCCACGGCCGGGCTGATCAACAACTACCCCTTCCAGTGCCTGGGCTTCACGGCCGAGCAGCAGCGGGACTTCATCGCCCGCGACCTGGGCCCGGCGCTGGCCAACAGCTCCCACCGCCACGTCCAGCTCATCATCCTGGACGACAACCGGCTCCACCTCCCACACTGGGCCAGAGTGGTGAGCGTGGGCAGGGATGGCTGGCACAGAGAGCCGGGGCAGAGCCCCCCATGCCCACGGGGGGCTCGGCCGCTCCGTCCTGCTGTGCAAGGGTTGGGGCGCTGGCTCTGCCCCACAGGACCAACTCTTCTCCCCGCCAGGTGCTGGAGGATGAAGAGGCAGCTCGTTATGTCCATGGCATCGGCATCCACTGGTACCTGGACTTCATCGGTCCCATACAGGACACAGTGTTGCCCACTCACGAGCTCTTCCCTGACTACTTCATCCTGGCCACGGAGGCGTCCATCGGAGCCCATTTCTGGGAGCGGGATGTGATCCTGGGCTGCTGGGACCGGGGCAACCAGTACAGCCACAGCATCCTGACGGTGAGGCCCCTGCATCACTGCATGTGATAGGCCCTGGGAAGGGCTGCCAGCGTGCCCCCTCTCCCCTTGGCACCCTGCTCCTTGGGCACATGTCTGGGCTGTCCTGTTGCAGAACCTGAACCACTTTGTGACTGGGTGGACCGACTGGAACTTGGCTCTGGACCTGGAGGGGGGCCCCAACTGGGTCAAGAACTATGTGGACAGCCCCATCATCGTGGACAGCAGCGAAGGCATCTTCTACAAACAACCCATGTTCTACCACATGGGGCACTTCAGGTGGGTGGGTTGGGGCCCCTGACGTGCATCCACCTGCCTGGTCTTCAGCTCCGTCATCGCAGCAGCTCGTCAGGAGGAGAGCGGTGCAGGTTTGGTGGGAGAGGAGCTCTCCTGGGAGCTGACTCCCTCCCTGAGGTTGCTTCTTGCTTCTGTCTGTGCAGTAAGTTCATTCCTGAGGGCTCCCAGCGCGTGGGGCTTGTTGCCTCCAAAGAGTCCAAGAAGACAGCGCTGGAGCACACGGCTTTCCTGCGCCCCGACGGCGCCGTGGTGGTGGTGGTGCTGAACCGGTGAGCGACACGGCCCAGCCCCTGCTGTGGGCCCTGCGCACCAGTGGGTGCTGCACCTCTGACCCCCCCTGCTCTCCCTCCACAGCTCCCCCCAGGACATCTCCTTCGGGCTGGCCGACACCGTCGGCCTCATCTCCGCCGTGGCTCCGGCCAACTCCATCCAGACCTACGTGTGGCAGCGGCAGTGACGGGGAAGGGGCGCCTGTGGACGTGCCGGACGCAGCCGGGCTGGACGTGCGGCCCCAGCTGCCCGCGGGCTCGGGCCGGGGCGCGCGGGGGGAGCGATTCCTCGGAGCCGAGCGCCCGGAGCGAGCCGGGCCGGGGACGCCGTGCGCGTGGCAGGAGGGCCAGGGGCACCGGTGCCCCTCAGGGTGGAGACCCCACAGGCTGTGAGCGCTGTGTTCTGCTGTTCTGGCATTAAACGGTGAAGCTGCCTCGGTGTCCGCGGCTGGGAGAGAAACGTCCGGGTCCCTCCCCTGCTCCTGGGCACTGTGGCTGGGTGCCACCCGGGCATGGAGCCCGCAGGAGGACGGAGAGCAGCATGGAACACTCGGAACCCCATGGGGCAGCCCCTCTCCCTGCTCCCCCTCTGCCCCCCACAGCTCCCTGTGGAGCTCACTGTGCCAGGGGGTGCTCCCAGTCTCCTCCCAGTTCCAAGCATGTACTGCCTGGCAGGGGCTGGGCACAGCCTGGGTGCTCTTCCAGTGCCTTTGGGGACAGGTTTTAGGACCTGGCAAGTGGCTCAGGATTCACCTGGCACACAGGTGCTCTGGGTGCTGGAGCAGGAGCAGAAGCAGGAACAAAACACCTGGACACCCCTCTGATGGAAGGTCTGGGCAGGGGTTGCAGTCAAGGTTCAGCTTTCCATGCTTTTTTTGCCAAGCTGGAGCCACTCACAACCCAATGCCAGGCCAGGGGGTGTGTGAATCACGTTTTTCCCAGCCCAGGGTGCTCCCAGGGTCAGGGCTGGAGGCAGAGCCAGTTCCAGAGACATCGCAGCGTGGAGGGCTCAGGGTCCCAGCTGGCTCTGGCATTGCCAGCTGCTCCTGGGGCTTTGCCAGGACAGGGATGCTGGCCAGGCTGCAGCAACCCTGCCTGGAGCATGAGCTGTGCCCCTGTGGGGACTGGGCAGAGGGGTCCCCACTGTGGAGAGGAGAGTGGGGGTGCACCAGAGGCTCAGCACCCACCACGGAGCTGGGGCAGCTTGAGCAAGTGGGCCCAGGGCCAGGAGTGGGCGCTGAGAGTGGGTCCACCCAGGAAGGAGGGAGGGAGCTGGCAGGGCGTGGGAGCAGGGGATTAGGGCAGGGAGGTCACAATTGCAGGGCGAGGAGGGCGGCCGGGCCCCTGGGCTGATCCGCGGGGGTGGGATGTGCCCGGGGGTGCTGTCAGGGCTGACAGCCCCGATGCTGCGTGGGCTGGGCACGGCCCAGGCGGGGTCTGTGCGTGACAGAGTCACCCTGGGACATCCTGCACCGTGGTGCCACAGCGACACTGCTCCGGGGGGGGAGCCCTGGGACCCTGCAACTCCAGGAGGAGTCCTGGGGAGAGCACCCTGCTCCTGCCCCGAGGCTGTTTGTGTTTGTCCACAAGAGGGAAATATTTCTCCAGGATCATAACCAGAGTGAGCTCCACTCCCAGTGTCCTGCTCCCAGCATCCCATTCCCAGCATCCCGCTCCCAGCACCCTGCTCCTGGTGCAGGGCTGCTCCTTCACCTTCTTCTTTCTTCCTTGCCCTGGTCCTAACAGCTGGTGGCCAGATGCTGAATCACCCTGGTCCGCGTGCCCTTGTCCCTGTGCTCGGCTCTGAAGGACAGAGCAGCTCTGGGATAAACGGAGCGGGGGCGAGTCCTGGGCTTGGCTGGGCTTGGCTCATTAATTCCTGTGCAAAGCCTTGCCTTGTTTGGGGCTTACAGTGGCTGGGGGCTGCTGGGGCCCCCCAGGAACTGGCCTGGCACCAGTGACCACCCTAAAGTCTGTGTCCCTCCGTGCTCCAGGCCGGGGTCCCGCTGCAGGGAACGAGCTGTGGGGAAGGAACTGCTGTGATGCCACACTGAGGCTCTTTGGCCTCGGTGTTTACGGAGTCGTGATGCCCATAAAGGTGACTCAGCCCAGCTCAGTGTCCCCAGGGTCCCCATCCACACCCTCCTGACTAAGGGACCAAAATTCACCCCCCGACTCCTCCACCAGCTCCTCTGAGCCCACATCCTCGGCCCCGGCACGGAACGAACCCACCTGTGCGCTGCAAAGGGCGGCCACACGATGCCAGCGAGGCCCCTGCGACCCCCACCAGCCCCCTGTGCGCGGGGAGCGGCCTCAAGAAGCGGATTTTGGGGGTTTGGTGGGGCTGCCCAGCATGTCCCGTGCCAGCGGCTCCGTGGTGCGAGGCGTTGCCCATCCCCTGGGTCTCACTTTTCCTGCTCGGCAGGACGCTCTTATCAGCCAGATGTTGATAAGGATGAGCTCCAGCAGCCTCCGCAGTGTTTTTGCTTCCAGGAGCTGCAGGGACCTGAGCCAGCTGGGGGGCTCTGGCCCCTCAGCAGGACCTCAGGACGGAAAAGGGTGAGTGGGGCATCCCAGGTGGCTGGAAGCGGGCTGGGAGGTGGCTGATGGCCACAGGACCTATTAACCCCTCCCCAAAACTGGGGCTCATTAGCCTGGGCGTAGCAGTCGCGTGACAACTTAATCACACTCGGGGGTGGGAGATACACAGCACAGTAGGACTGGGCCAGGAGCTCCCTTCCTGGGCAGCTGTTTGCCCTGTGAGATGGAACCAGGGGCTGCCTGGCCCTGTCTGCCCCAGCTCTGGTGGCAGCAGGGGCTGGTGTCCCGTGGCTCAGCTCCCAGCGGAGGTGTGGGACCGTGGCAGGGCCCATGGCAGCGCAGTGCTGGGGGCAGGAGGAACTCTGACAATTGACTTGCCCCAGAGCTGCATCTGATATGCCAGGAAAGGAGCAAATTAGTCATGAAGTGCTGCTCCACCCGGGCAGGGAGAGCTAACGGAGCAGTTTAACCCTGTGGAGGGGAGCTCTGACCTGGGGAGTGACACTCCAGGCCACTGGAGCTGTGCCAGGGAGCTGTGGTTGGGATGTGGCCACTCTCTGTCCCCTGGGCCACCCCTGTGGGGAGATACTGAGGTTGTCCCTGCAGTGATGGGCACATGTTCATGGGATCAGGCACAGCCTGGGTGATGGGACCCAGATCAGGTGGGATCTGTGGGCCCAGCTGAGCTGGCCCAGTTCAACCCTGTCCTGGGCTGGAGGGTCCCTCTCAGAGGAGCAAGGAGTGCTCCTGGAGCAGTTGGTCACCACAGCTGGGCTCTGCTCCTGGCATGGCTGGTGTTAGGGAACCCAGTCCCTGTCTGTGGGTCCAACTGCCATGGCCAGGGGCCAGAGTGCAACCCTGCTTGTGTGGGAGCTGGGGCATCGCCCACTTGCTGCCACTGCTGCCACTGCTGCCACTGCTGCCACTGCTGCCACCTTCCCCAGCGCCCCCTGAGGAGGGGAGAGCAATTCCAAAGCCTTTGGCAGGGAATGGCAGTGGCCCCAGCTCCTGTGTGGCCATCCCTGTAGGGTCCATCTGCCACCCTGGGCCATTTTGCTGGCGTCACCCGGGGGTCCTGGGCCCTCCCCACGCTGGACACAAACGCCTGGCAGCTCCTGAGGGAGAGTGGGGGCAGTGGGGTGATGGACAGGGGTAAGTGGGTGGTCCAGGATGCCGTTGGAGGTTCCCAGCAGGACAGGCAGCTGTCACGAGCCTTCCCTGGGCTCTGCCAGACCCAGGGGCTCGTCCAGACCGTGACCGACAAAACAAAGGAATCGGCTCTTCCTTCAGGGATTGCAGAGGGGTCCCAGAGTTCCCCCCACGACACCTCCCTGTGCTGGTGGGGCCCTCACTCAGGCAGAGCTGCCGGTGCTGCGTCGCTGTCCCTCCCTGGCACGGCGCTGGGGGGCGAGGGGGGCCCGGTGTTCCCCAGCCCCACGGCGAGGAGACGTTCGATGGTCCCGGCCCGAGGGCAGGTACGGGCCGGGAGGAGGGCAAGGAGGAGCTGTGGGGGAGGGAGAGGGTGTGCTGCAGAGGGAAGTCTCGGAGCAGCTCCCTGTAAAGGCTGGAGCCGCTGAGGAGGAGGAGGGCTGGCAGCAGCACAGGTCGGGAGCAGCCGGGGTGAAGGTGGGTGGGCTGGACCCACCTCACCTACCTGAAAGACAAAGGTGTTCTGGGGGCAGGAGCTCTCTGGCAGAGAAAACAGAAGCAGGGGCTGGGGAGATGGGGCTGATCCAGAGGGGAGCACAGCCTGTCCCTCCATCCCCCTGCCTTGGCTGAGGGTTCTCCTGCTCGCAGGTGCTGCTCCCTGGGACCTGCTGGAGCTGAAGGGACGTGGAGGGGCCATGGGGGCTCTCAGTATCCTGGGCTGGCTGCTCCTGCTGCTGCTTCTGCTGCTGATGCCGGTGCCCTGGGCGGCAGGTGAGCACGGGGATGTCCCGGGGCGCCGGGATGTCCCGGGGTAGGGGCAGGAGCCTGGGGACAGGATGGACCCGGGTGCTGGGGAGGTGGCAGGATGCAAGGCATGGGGGCAGCACATCATCCAGGGCAGGCGGGAGAGCTGAGCCTGCAGCTGCCCCTACCCTCCCGTGCCACCCCCTCCCCTCCCGTGCCCCCCAGGCGCCCGGCCCTGCATCCCCAGGGATTTTGGCCATGGCTCGATAGTCTGTGTCTGCAACGCCACGTACTGCGACACGCTGGACCCCCTGGTCCTGCCACCCCCCGGCTCCTACGTCAAGTACGAGAGCAGCAAGGCCGGCAAGAGGCTGGAGCGGAGCGAGGGGAAATTCCAGCACAGCCTGCACACCCCAGGTACGGCCAGGCTGGGAAAGGTGGGCGGCGGTGCCACCGCAGGTCCCCCGGGCACCGCGGGCTGAGCCGGGCTCTCCCCTCAGGGCTGCTGCTGACCCTCAACATCACCACGCTGTACCAGAGCATGAAGGGCTTCGGCGGGTCCCTCTCGGATTCAGCTGCCATGAACATCCTGCGGCTGTCACGGCCGGCCCAGGACAACCTGCTGCGCTCCTACTTCTCCGCGTGCGGTGAGCGGTGAGGGCGCGGCAGCGCGGGCGGCTCGTGGGGTCACCGGAGGTGGCTGTGCCTGTCCCCGCTGCAGGGACACCCCTCACCTGGGTGCCTGCTCCGGTGCTGCTTGATGCTTTTCCTGCTTTTCCCGCTTTTCCCACAGGGATCG